CGGGACGCGGCTGCTCCAGGCCGGGCGCTACATCATGTCCCACAAGGCCTGGATGAAGACGGTGCCCACGGAGAACTGCGACGTGCTCATGACCTTCCCAGGTAGGGAGATGCCTGGGGCAGGGGCCGGGGCTGACAGTGCCGGTGTGGAGCACCGGGATGGCGGTGCGGAGCTGCAGCGGGGATGGGGGACGTGGGGAGGGATGGGGACCGGGGTGGGCTGTGCTGGGAGACGTGGACACCCCCGGTCCCCACCGCGATGCTGACCGGTGCCATCCAGACACCACCGACGACCACACGCTGCTCTGGCTCCTGAACCACATCCGCCTCGGCATCCCCGAGCTCATCGTCCAGGTCCGGCACCACAAGCACACCCGTGTCTACGCCTTCTTTGTCACCGCCACCTACGAGAGGTAGGGTCCCGGCCACGTCCCCAGCCCCCGCCACGTCCCCCACTGTGTCCACAGCCGCGTCCCTTCTCCTTCCAGTTTGCTGCGTGGGGCCGATGAGATCGGGCTGCGAAAGCCAGTGAAAGCCGAATTTGGCGGGGGCATGCGGAGCTTCTCCTGCGAGGAGGATTACATCTACGAGAACATCGAGAACGAGTTTTACTTCTTCACCTCTCAGGTGGGGTGCGGAGGGACGAGGGACATGGGGCAGGGATGTGCGGATGCAGGGATGCAGGGATGCTGGGCAAGGATGCAGGGATGCCGGAATGCAGGGATGCAGGCATGTGGGGATGCGGGGCGGGGATGCGGGGCAGGGATGCAGGGACATGGGGCAGGGAAGGCAGGTCCTCTCCCCCTCCCCAGGTGAAGAAGGGAATCGGGGAGCCCCAGCCCAGCTGAGGACCGATCCAGCCATCCCCCAAGCTGGGGACAAGGCAGGTCCGGGGAGGGAACAGGACAGGGGCAGGGGCTGGGGACACGGGTGTGGCAGGAGAGGGGCTGGGGGCCGGGCAGTGGGACCATCGCCCCAGGCTCAACCCCACCGCGGTGCCACAGGAACGGCAAAACATCATCAGATACTGGCTGGAGAACCTGCGCGCCAAGCAGGGCGAGTCGCTGCACAACATCCACTTCCTCGAGGGGCAGCCCATCAGTGAGTATGGCACGGCGCGGCCCGGCACGATGTGGCACGGCACCGCCACCCCACTGCCCCGTTCCCTCTGCCCAGCCTGTGCCCAAGCCGTGCCGTGGTGGCCCCGGAGGACAGAAGCCCAGCGAGGGTCCCCTGTCACCCCATGTCCCCATCCCCGGCGCTGTGTGCCGGACAGGGTGGTGGGTGCACGGTGGCTGTGCCGTGCTGTGGCTGGGCAGTGCCGGGGTTGGGCACAGAGCCCTGATGTGCCATGGTCACCCCAAACCTGTCCTCCCCGTTGTCCCTGCCCCAAACCCCACCGTGCCAGGGCCATCTGGGGACAGGC